AGCTTGGTGTCATCAGCAAACTTCCTGAGGGCGCACTCAATTCCGTAAAGTTTTCTTCTAATTTCACTCATCTCTCATTTCCTTCAGTTCAAAAAATCTTTTTACGATGTTTTAAATAGTTTCATTTACACATTGCAACAAAATTATGGTTCCATTTTATGAAAGCACCATTAAAGCATAATGAACTTTACCCACAGAAACAATATACCCAATGTTTAGCAAAAATGTATGTTGCTAACTAAACAATACTCAAAATGTGGAGCAATGTACAGGAATTTACTAAATAAGTGCATGATCAACCAACACATTTAAAAAATCACAGATAGAATCATAGAATAATATAGATAATATCTGTTAAACTTTCCATACAATAATCTCCAAATGCTTTGTGCTGGAATAGTATAAAAGCAACATAATCTCCACTTTATAAATTAAGAGACTGAGCTCTGAAAAGTATAATCTACATGTTAGAGGTTGAAAATGAACCTGTGGTACAACCAAAACAAAAACAATGCCAATTCCCAATCCAAGCTTCAAAGTGCAACATCGTTACTCCTTGCAGTGTTGACAAGAATCGAACACGGAAGACCCTTGGATAATGAAATCATCGGGATATTGGGGCAACCACTGTGTGAAGTAATTCACTTCATCTCTACTGGTTCTCAGCATTCTCACTAGAAATTGCTTTTATAACACATATGAAAAGGAAACTCACATATGTCTTTTCAGCTGAACAATAGGCTTTAGGATAGCTGAGAGACATAAAAATTCACTTCTGAAACAGTGAATGAGCCTGTCAGAGCTCATACATTTAAAGCAATCATAAGGTTGTGATTCTGTTTCTACATCTTTGCTCTTGACAGTTAAAAATATCTTCAATATCTTTCAATATATTTCTTTTTTTATTAATCATATCAAATTATAAATTGATCAAATACTATGCTAGAGTGACTGTAAATAGCAGGTAATGTAACTTTCCAGGTTGTAATGAAAAAGACATTATCTTAAAATAAATATGTATCTCTCTTTCAAATTTTCTTACATGAAAGTTATTCCAGATGGACACAAGAAAACAGTTCTTTTAGAATTACAGAATCGTTTAGGTTAGAAGAGAGCTTTAAGATCACCATGTCCACCTGTAGAACCCAGCACTGACAAGTCAACCACTAAACCATGTCCCCAAGTGCCACATCTTTTAAACACCCCCAGGGATGGTGACTCAACCACTTCCCTGGGCAGCCTGTTTCAATGCCTGACAGCCTTTTCAGTGAGGAAATTTTTTCCTAATACCCAATCTAAACCTTCCCTGGCATGACTTGAGGCTGTTTCCTCTAGCTCTTTCACTTATTACCTGGGAGACCAACCCCCACCTCATTACAACCTCCTTTCAGGTAGAGAGCAAGAGGGTCTCCCCTGAGCCTCCTTTTCTCCAGGCTAGATAACCCCAGTTCCCTTAGCTGTTCCTCCTAAGACTTGTGCTCTAGACCCTTCATCAGTTTTGTTGCCCTTCTTCTTGTCAAGCACTGGAACAGGCTGCCTAGGGAAGCGACTGAGTCACCATCCCTGTAGATATTTAAAACGTGTAGATGTGGTACTTCAGAACATGCTTTACTGGTGGACTTGTCAGTGCTGGGTAAACAGTTGGACTCAATGATCTTAAAGGTCTTTTCCAACTTCTATGAAAATGATATGCTTCATTTTATCATGAGTATAAAGTCATAGCATAGGGATTTTTTTGCTGTGCTTACGAAGCATTACCGGGGCATTTTAAGTTTAAGAAATATTCCCCTTAAGATATAAAACTAATGTTATATTTACATCTACTAACAGCATAATCTAGTGTCTCCCCTAAAAATGAAGCAGAACAGACTGTAAGAATTTAGGAAGTTGCCACAAGTAATTACCTGTGAGGCTACAAAGCTCAAGCAAATCATGACTGTATCTAATGTTTTCCCAAAATTATTTTCAAATGCAACAGGAAAAATTAAATAGTTTCACACTAGGTGATCCCAAGGTTCAGCTTTACAGGTCTCCCTCACTTCCAAACTGCAGACATTACATGTGTTACCTGTGAGCCTCAACAGGACATTTTGCTTTCCAGTCACTCAAATTGGTGTCATATTCCACAGAAATGACTCTAAGGGCAGGACAGTCTGAAGCCAGCCATGTCTAAATTGAAGAAAAGCAAAACCAAAGCAGCTTCTAATTGAGGTACTTAAACTGTTGTAAGCAATTTAGCAGCAATGAAGCAAAGATGTTACTATGGGGACAATATCAAGCAAGACATTCGCTCTTCAGTTAATTCCTAAATACATCTCACACCTAGACTATTATTCTTTCATAACACACTGGTGAACTCTAGCCTGCTCCCCAACGACAAAGTAGGCAAAGGATGGAGATGGATTACTAACTCGTGCGTTCCTGGCTCCCTCTCCTGGGTAAAACAAAAATTACTAAGGTTACCAACGGGACTGATCACTTTACAGAGATACTTTGGTGGTTATACCAATGTGAGTTGCTTGAAGCAGTAATTACTTATTTATCAACCATATTTAAGTAGCAATCTGCAAAATCTGAGGCACTCAGACACCTATGTAAGAAATGATAATTAAAAATTAATTTTATGTATATTTTTCTCAGCAATAATATTCCATTAAAAAAAAAAAGAAAAAAGCATGAGGAAAGTAGCCATTGCCTCCTCTTTCACTAGCAGAAGAATGATGTTGACGGCTTACAGTTAGCACGGATTTTCCTTTGCAAGAACAACCTACTCAAAATTTCAGCTTGCTAATAAAAATACACCAGGAACTTGAAAAATGCTACTTGTATAACACATTACAAGTAATTTGATTCAAAAAAGACAACTGCAGACAGTGTAATTTTAGATCCTCTGGAAAGCTCCCATTAATGAGAAACTAATGAGAATGTTGTTGTCTTTTTACCTTTGGCCAGCACTGACTGTACTCCTCTTGTCCTTCTGAAGCCTTCTTATCCAAACGCCGGTCAATGTCTTGCTGTCGCCAGGTTTTAAATGCTGCTCCCAAAAGACCATGAACAAAAAGGACGTCTGCTCTGATGGGCTGACTGATACAGAAAAAGGAATTTTTAAGAGCTGCATAGTACATATTCTTTTAGCAAATTAAATTTGCACAGACCTTTTAACCTAAGGGATGCCAAAATGCTATTTTCAACACTGTATGTGACTTCTTATGGTCAACATTTCATGATATTTCAAAGAGGATACTCAGAACAAGACAAAAAACAGGGATCCACCCAGAAGAGAGAGAGATAAAAAGAAGTATGGAAAATAGCCAGCTCACAAGTCATATTTTTCTATAATGAAAAACACCATTCTCTCCAGCTACTCTTAATGCGGCCTGGTAGTTCCAGCTTTATCATGAAATTAAATCTTCATTGTAACTAACACCAATTACTCAGGGAATAGTCGCCACTAAGTGACATACCACACTGGACACTGCTTCAGCCCCAGATACACAATCCCTATTAAAAGAAGCTGAAGCTGTAAATTTACTGCATCTTAAGCCAACATGTGCTGCTGCCAGCAGAATAATTACATGGCAAATAATTATCCAAAGACAGCCAGTGCAAAGGTTACATGGCTGCAATGCATGCAAAGCAGTAATTCATCTTGTGTTGTGTTCGGATTTTTCCATGCAGTACAATAATACTTTCATGGTCATGGATTGCTCCAACCACTTCTCTTGTTCTCCTGTTTGAGAATCTAAACTCAGTCCTTTCAATCCAGCAAAGAACAGGAGGAGCAGGTGACATCAGTACAGCAGCACTCTGATGTCAGCTCTTTCAAAGCTTTTTAACTAAACAGTTTAAAAAGTAACTCAAAGTACAACATGTACAAGTAACTCAACATGTGCAGTGCCTCCTTCCGCTTTACCTGCTGCGGTATTGTGGATGCAAGACATAAACACCATCTGGGTATTTTTCTTTGACCGTGTCCCTGTCTAGATTCGCCAAAGCTCTGGATGCATGAGAAGACTGAATGACATGTGGGGATTTCATTACTTCAGCAAGTACAGAAATCCAACCTACATTGAAACAATAAAGTGACAGGTTAACTAACAGAAACATGATCCAAACAGAAGAATTCAGAAACATCATGCTTCAAACTAGACTTGTGAAAATAGATGTTAAAATTTGAGAATGGTAACATCAAAACTAAATTTCTAAACAGAATGTATGTGATTACTGTGCAAGTTCTCCTAAAGAAGAACACTACCTATAATCTATTTTCAGTTCTCCAAACACAATAAAAGACTGCCAAGCTATTAAGTCCAATTAAAATTAGCAAGGTCTCTGCTTTTTCGTTCCTCTTAAAAGAGCCAAGACGAAGAGTCGAAAATAGTGTTCAGAATCCTTCTGCCCCCAGATACCCTATGGCAGCTACTACACAGTGCGTCATTCTTTTCTTCCTCTTCCTGTATCACAGCTTTTGCAAAGGAAAAGAGCCTTGGAGGTTCTTGCTTCTTGCACATCATCCAGCAACAAAAGAGTAGTTTTGTCAACCCTTAACATAGAACTGCTCGACTCTGGCATCTGGTTCACTGTCTAAAATTCCATTTATACTGAGAGCTCTGCCCCAGGAAGCTGCTGACTCTTCTGTTATGATCTCTTCCTCTAGAAGAGCTCAGACCCAAGGCCTTTATAGTCCAGCTGTCTTTCTCCAAAAGTAAGCAGTAATGGAAGTTGCAGAACAATAAAGGAATAGAGCAATAAAAGACCAAGTATATAGGGCTGATTCTCTACTATATTCTCTCAGGTTTCCGCAGCCAACTTGGCTTCTGCGTGCGGAACTTTATGGATTTCTCTTTCCATGAATTTGCCTAATCACTTTTTGAAGCTCTGTAAGACTTCAACAATCACAATGTTTTGTGGCAAGTTTTAGTTGGGTCACGCACTGTATGGGAAAATCGTATACTTTTATTTGTTTTGCCTCTTGGTAATTAAACGTACAAGAACTTTTGGTCTTGCATGACAAGAAACAGCAGATGACCATTCCCTCTTTGCATTCTCTGCGCTAGTGAGGATTTTATAAATCAGTCATATTCTCCTTCAGTCGCTTTTTCCACACTAAGTGTCCTAGTCTAGTTATTTGTTCTTTAATACCACAGCCATTCCAAAGTTTTAATCAACCTCATGGTCTTTCCCTGTGCCTTTGCTACTTCTCCTTTTTGCAATAGCAGATTAAAAACGTGTTTTAAGAGGCAGACAACAGCTCAGATGCATACAACAGCATACGGGTATCTTCTATTTTTCTTATTCTTTATTTCCTAATAAAACATTGAGAATTATTTATTTGGTACAGAAATTTAACTGTGATAATTAGGGGCATTAAAAAAGGGGCATCAGAGCAAAACTTAGCAAAAGTTCCTAGCCTAAATGAAACAATAGAGGGCGGAAAGGCATGTTTCACTTTGTTCCAAAAGATATGGACTACAAGCTGGTCTGTTCCTCTACAAGACTAAAACACAGTCAATTAAAAAAAAAAAAAATAAATCAGAAGATCTTTGCCAGTAATGTAAACTGAACATCAGTCAAGTCCAAACTGCCACCATCCATCAGACTTAGCACATCCTCTGTAGCACTGACGTACATTTGGCCAGACAGCATACAGGACTTTTTAATCAACATCATCTAAACTGCCTATACTTTCTGTATTAAAAAAACACCACCACCACCTCCCCACGCTCACAAATACAAAAACCACACCACTACCATCATCCTTTGTATTTTACAAAAGCACTGAATCCTCTGAAAATTTTAGAATAGAAATCTGACATTCAGACTGCTTGCACTTGCTTTCCTTTTACCTGCACGTACTATTGATGCATGAAGACGTTCATCCAAAGCCATATTTCCAATAATGTGAATTATGTTCCTTTGTATTTTTGCTGAATCTTTACGTAGCTGGTATATTCTTTGTAGTAACTGAAGGCCTCCTTTAGCTTCAATTTTATCACAGTGAGAAGAAACCTAGTGAACACAGTAACTACAATTGTCATTGTAAGTAGACATTCTGCAAAAGGTTGAGACGCTGTTAATTCACAAATTAGGGCATTTTAATGATGCCCTTAATATGTAGAAATTCTCATTAATATAGAATTTATCATGCCGTAGTTGAAGATAAAGTAAATATTTTAATATGCTAAACACATGATTTCTATGGATTGACAACCTGAAAGATGCTGAGTATCATCACTCTACTCTCCTCCACATTTGAGGGAGATAAGATTGCTCTCCACTTGGCGTGATCAAACTTCAACTTAAAAGTCTGAACAGGATAATTATCCGCATTTGTTAAAGCACTATCTCAAGCAGATCTACCTGTCTTCCTGTTCACCATGTAAAATGGTATCACTATAATCCCTTCTCTTTGAAATGCAAAGATGTCTACATTCCATGTAGTGCTGCTATCATTACTGATCCTAAGGGCAACAACAGATTCTAGTCCAAGCAGATGAATATACACTAATTAGTTGTGGCAAATACTGATACCGGTCAAATGCTTCTGACTTGAACATGTTGTCTACAGTGCTTGAAAATGTGTGGTAGTTATATGCTGATGTCCTCAAGTCTGTGCCTTTCAACAGACACACACACATTTGGAATGAGTACAGTCACAACTTGTTTAAACTGAAAATCTGGAATACAAGTTCTAGACTGAGTAAGAACTTCTATGTATATGGAAGATGAGCAAGGAATACTGGCAAACTGCACTTTATCCATGCCTACTACCAATAACAATTTGGCATTCTCAGTGCTGTTTCTCAGTGTTCTAGGCTTCTGAGCAACTAATACACACAGAAGAGTAGAGCAATAGGGAATAAGAAATATCACTGCTACACAAAGTCTTCCATACTCTCCATCTGTGTCTGCAAAGAACAGACTGGTCCTGGAAAGATGCACTGTATCAGGTGCAATGTTCTGCCAAAGGCAGTGACCCCTGATGGAGGGGCTCTTTTTGAATAGCCAAGGTTTGCATTCCATTCTGGCTTTCAATTAAAGTGAATTCATGAAGCTACTCTGCTTTCTAGAAACCTGGCCCTAGAGTTACATTAAGAGCCATACGAGACCGCTTGTAAGCTTTCTGAATTGATGTACACCAACTCAAATAAATCCACACATACTTTGCACTGAGAATTTCATATTACCAGTATCTCATTGAGAAGTTGCAGAGCCTTATAATGTCTATCTTAAATGACTTCTGAGTGTCAGTGGGAGGTAGCCCTAAACAGAAGAAGACTTCTGGACTTCAGGCACTCTCTCCTGCTTTTCTGTGTCAGAGCTGCCCTTTACTTTTTGAAAAATACATACAGGTATACTACAGTGGAACTTATACAGGCTAATTAGAAATAATACCAGAACCTACATTCACTTCCCATCAGAAAAAATGAGTTTGTCACGCTGCTTTCCAATTCTCACCAGTCTTGGTTGTTTGAATATCCCTTATAGAAGGGATAAGGGACAGGAGACGAGGAAATGGCAACTCCTTCCCAATATATGAGAGCATATTCAGCTTTTCAGTTATAAAGGACAAATTACCTTAGAATGCTGTACTAAAGCTTGCAAGCAAAAGAGTTCCACTGTCTCTGAAGGGATCTTACTCAGTGTCTCACAATATGGAAGTCCATTGCCTCCAAAACACCATAAACCTCCCTGAAATGAGAATCAGTAAAAATTATCCACATTCCAAATGGCTACAAAAAATTAGCATTTCCAAACTAAAACATTAAGTGTGTAATGGTCCATAGAAATTTCTATAAAGAGTGCACAGCATGCATGCACTTTTCAAAACATACAAATTACACAACAGTCCACAATAAAAATAGCTACTATTTCAAACTGAAAATATTAACTAGTTTTCAGTCAGTAGTCTCCATAGTCTGTTAGCGTCAAAACATAAATTAAGGGGGAAAATGAATGATTTTCATTTTGTTAATGAATGTCTTCTTTTAAGATCATTTGCTCAAGCATAAAAAAAGCAAGATTCATACTGCATGTAGATTTCCAGAGTTGCAATAAAGAGAAGAGGAGGAAAAGGGTGGAAAAAAGGTCTTCAACACATAGCACGGTCTCTAAGGACCAGTCTCCCTCAATCATGCAATAGGAAGACCAGCATAACCTCAATAAAAAGCAATTTTCTAGAACAGCATGATTACCAAAATGCCTCCAAGTGCAGTGTCTTACTAAAGCTCTCTTTGTAACAAAAGGACTCACTATGAAAGCAATAAGGGGTGATAATGTAAAAATATTACACAACTGTGTCATAGGAAATAAAAAGTTACTGCACTCTGAAATCTCTAAACACAGCCTGACAGGCATCATTATTAAAATACGACAGTAATTGTTATTACCAAATCTTACAAAAAAATAATCATCACTGATTAAAACAGTCACAACTTTTAAATAAAAAAAATAAAATGCAAAAGAGATAGTGGATTACACTGGGATTACAATTATTATTTTTAAGCAATAACAGCACTTTAAATGACATTCCTAAAGCCACTGAGGAAGTTGCTGGACAAACAGAGTTGAAGAATTCCTAGTTTACAAGTATAAACAGACTACTAGACTATTTCAATTCTGGTTTTGCAACAATGACCTGTAACAGGGAGGCATTTCCATGTGGTATAAGAAAGTTTACTATTTAAGGTGTGCTAACAATTTATCAGTTTGCTAGTAAGACTTAACAGAGGTTTAATCATGTCAGCAGTGAAAGAACACGCAAGCAACAGTAAGATGAAATGTGAAAAATCATTCTATGAGCACTGCAAGGGGAAGGAAATGTTCTGGACAAAATACAAGCCTTGCCATCTGCTTTATGGCAAGGCTTGTAAGAAGAGACATAATCTTTCACTAGACCAACCAGTACAGTTGGGAAAGATAAACAAGCTTTCAAGCAGACTGCGTGTAGAAGAGATTTTACTTATGTTGTACAGTCACAAAGTCTCTTTCTCCTATAATGCTAAAAAATATGGAAACAGGTTTGTATCTTTGAGCTCTGCAGAAACAAAGAACCCAAGTAGTTCTATTCTGTAGGTGGGGACTCACCCTTTGTGCAGCAAGAATCTGGCTACTTTCACGTAAAGCAAGAGATGTGAAGTGCTGGACACATGGATCAAGATCGGTCTGAGGTAAAGACACTAACAACAGGCGAAGTTCGTCTTCTATGGTATAATCCTGTGAGAAATAAGCACAAATGGCTTTTAGTTCTGTTCAAAGCATAAAGCAAAACACAGAGAAAAAAAGATACCTCAAATAACGAAAGCAGCCATATTAATAAGGCCATAAAACACAAACCCTGGATTTGAGTGCTCTGCAACTTTGGTTTTATATTACACCTGTAAAGACTTTGGAAACTGGTAATTCTAAACCCACCATCTGAGTGATGAAAAGCAAGCTTTAAACTGCATACATTGATGGCCTTATTCTAATAGGTCCAAAGAAGAAAAAAACGTTCTTCTTGGCACAGGATGCTTAAAAGTTCACCCTTAACTACACAGTAATTTTGGTGCTGCTGCATTAGAATGGATGTATAAATTACTAATAGAAAATGTAGACAACAGTCCTTTTAATCTTTTATCTTCAAAATATTCATATAGATGTTTATTTAATAATCCAGGGTAGATGACAGGAAAATAGAGTCAACAAAGTAATTATATTTGTCCACAGTCATGAAACTTGCAGTTATTCTAATCCTTGCTATAATCAGAGATGGAGACATATCTGACGTGCAGAGCAACACCTGCTGCCACAATGATTTGCTTAAACTTCCTAAGCAGCAGATGGGGAGCTATTAGCTTCAATCACCTAGCAAACATACTGCTGTAAAAATAAAGTATATATACAACCATGTACTAGTATAAAATAGTACTTCAGGACTGACAGGTACATATCTGCTATCTTGTAATGTTACAAAGATAAGAAAGCAAAAGCTGAGAATATCACCACCAATCAAAGCTGGTTTTCAGAGTTTCATTAGTTAAGATCTGCAAGTATTCTCTGACAGGAACTTCTGCCAGCATTCATTCTATTAGTATTACAAAAGACCTCTTACATTATGCTTTATATGCCAATTCCTTTTACTGAAGAAGCTGATATGATGACATGATTGCTCAAGCCATCATATATATACATATACCAACTAACATAAAAACAAACCAAGGCCAAATTTATCCAATACAGATTTGTTGGTAACCAAAAGCTGGCAACAGAGGTGGGCCTACAGCAGAGACTTACACTAGCACTGAGGACGCAAAAGCCTCCAGAAAAGCTCTCTACATGCAGGAGTCTGTCAGTATTGACAAGGCAATCTAGGATGGCCCCAGGGGTATATCAATATATTACAGGTTTGTATTTTGGTCTCAATTTTACTACTTCATTAGTTACTTTAGAAGACCTCCACATTAGTACAGTTACCAACAACCAAGCAAGCAAAAATCACCTAATACTGCTTCTCATTTACTTACATTCTTTGTTTTTGGCAATGGTGGTGGAGGCAGGAAAAAGCGGAGGTCGATATCTTTGGATCGAGCCAACCCTATAGCAGTCCTCTGATCACAGGTTTGGGCAACTGTACCATACTGATAATCTGTAGTACAAGAACTTCAGTGTTAGAGTTAAAACTATCCTTAAATATTTCACTTGGTTTTAAATGCAGTTTCTGATCTACTTTGTAAATATACTTGAAAAAGGAACGACCTCTCTGCAATTTTGTAATCACAAATTCCTAAAGATAAAAACTGCAGATGTTAGACTAGCACTATACTGAGCTGAACCTGGGCACTAACCGTTCATTAGAGACCAGTCTGATAAAGGTCCTCAGATAGAAGCTGAACCTAAGCAAAAGCAAACTTTCAGTATTGCCACTATGAAAGGAATACAAGAGCTACAAACCCAAGCTTAATCCCTGGGTTTGAGTTAAAATTTGAAAGGCATCCTGCATACTTTTTTCTGCAAACAGTATTAAAAAACAGCCTTAAATCCACATGCTGCAAAGACAGAGAAATCTAATTTTAAATTATACAAAAGACACGTTTCAGTAAAATTGTTACAGAGGATACAAGATGGACTTTCAGTAACCCTACCAGATTTGAACAGTAACTAATGTTCCTTTCCAAATCCTACCTACTTTATTGCTGGAAAAATGAGAAATTACATACTGAAACTGAGTGGCAAACTAAAAGAAAAAAACCAACCTTAAATGCGAACAATTTTTTTTCTATAAAATTTGTTTCTATCTTTGTTACTGTTATACAATTCTAGAACAAAACTGACAAGCCATTTAAAACATAATTTTCACAAACAGAGATCAGTCATATTTTTTAATTTGGTGCAGAACACTTACAGTTGTAAACTGTAAGGGCTGTGCTTGGGACAAGCAAAATACTTATGCTAACAGATATGCTGAACAAGTTGGTCTTAGCTGTGAAAAGTTAGCACATACTTTCAGTCTTAACCTTTCTTGGACTTGGTTCTGGAATATTAGCTTAAAAAAAGTTTCTTTCATGAGGTAGCTAGCAAGAATAATTAGCGCTTGTGAAACTTTCAAATATTACGGCAATGAGCACTACAGAGAAAAGAAGAACGGATAAAGCAACCAGATTCCTGAGTACTGGCCATCTTGTGCACTAAGACCTGAGATCACCTGCTAACAGATGTTCTCGTATAAACAGGACAGAGTTATACTAAATTAGTATACAAAGCTTCAGTTTTGGTATATCCTAGCTTTCAAATGTTTTCAAACACAGCTTTTTGATGTAAATTGCTTGACGAAATTCATAAGAATTTTAAAGAGGCAACCTGAAACAAGATAAATCTTATATAGCACTACAAGAGTGAAAGGTCCTCAGCTGACTGGTTTACCACAATAATGACAGTAAAGATTAGACTGTCACATAGTTTACATGGACTAGTGATGGAGGGAGGAAGAGGACACACATATTCACACACACCCGCTTTCCTTGGGGTTTCAAGGATATTTGCTGCTAGAGCAACAGAGAGAGCTTATTACTACTAAGTAATAACTAAGATGGAAAATGGCTTACAAATAATACTTGCACATACAAGTCCTCTACCTCTAGTTTGTCATTACTACTTTGCTATTACTACCTATCAGCTACTAACCAACTTTTATTAACTTAACCATGGCCTTAAAGTCACTCTTACAGAGCGTTACAAAAATCAGTGCCAGAACTTGTGACTCTGTTGGCAGTCCCAACTGAAAACAGGGAACATAATGAACATGAACTGCTCTCCCACACCACAGCAGTGCACAACAGTGGGTGCAATTGTCTGGTGGGGAAACAGAGAGAGGTCTGCACTGCAGATGATATATACTCTGTATCAGGGTATTAGGAAAGAACAATTGCTTGAAATATAAATAAACCCCTCACATTTTAGACCAAATTTCAGAGAGTATTTTACACTCCTTGCAGCTCCTAGTTTTTGTTGGCAGCAGACTTGAAACAGCTGAGACACTGTTGCATTTCTGGGATGAATTATGCTACATCTGTATACATTACCATGCCAGTGACTGTTGTTTGCCAGGTCTTGTACAGCCTGTAGTCGGACCTCTTTGTCTTCTGACTGACTTCTCTTTAAGAGAAGCCATAAGGCACACTCATGATCTTCTCCATCAAATGTACCAAATTGTTCTTTTACCAGGAAAGAAATAAAGCACAAGTTATTATTAATAAGCATTTTAACAGTCACATTTCTACTTGTTGAGTAAAAGAAAAAAATGTTTGATAACTGAATATTAAGCATCAGCAAGTAATCTCAAATCTCTTCTTAAACACCACTTTCATTTACTATTAATATAGAAAATTATAAGTAATATTACCACCATTTCAATCACAAAAAACCATGGTAATTTTGTAAGAAAAATTACTTTCTAAACAACTGATGTTTCACTACTGAAAAATAAAAATCATAGATAAAAAGCCATGCTCTCAATACCTACCTTTAAAAGGTCTCCGGAAAAATTTAGCTTCTGTTTCTAGAATTTTCCTCACTGCTTTATGGATTTCTTTTCTGGCTTGGTATGTGATTCCTACAAGAGAATTTTTATATTACTAGAAGTCTGAAAGATGGTTCTCTCACATTATTTTCTCTCTATATATACATGAAAAAAAAATATATACACACACATACATATATGTACATATATAGAGAGAATTATCTCGTATACAGAGAACTGTATGTATAGAACTATATTAAAAAAACAGCCGTCAGTTTAACATACATTTGGTGACATTGTGAAGAACATTATTTTTGTAACAGATCTCAGGAAATACAATTTTCCTTATATAAGGGTGACTTACAGAAACATTCTATTCTCTTAATATTCTATTTTTAGGATCCAAACAATTATAAATCTTACCTCGATATTCACTTTGATTTAGAGAAGCTGTACGTACGTACACATAGGATTTAAGTTTTTCTTGATGTAGAGCTTGAGTATCGATTTGCAGTAACTTCTTTAAGGACAGGACTTCATATGTAATGAATACAAACCCTCTTTAAATAAAAGAAAACTGTGTATGAACATTAATTTTAAAAATATCATGGTAAAAACATGTAAACAATCACTCTGGTATTAATCATGCAGATCTTACCAAGTTTGTAATAGTTGACAGATGATTTTAAGTTAGCAAAGTAAAGACTCTGAAATACTTACAATAAGTAATAACTGTCAGAAAATATGCTTCAAAACTATATTCTACCATGTCTAAAGGTCCTGTTATATTTTTTGAAAGATACATACATGCAGTTAAAATTTTAATTCGTAAGTTACATACATGCTTGTCAGTTACAACTCACCCGAGTATCAGTGATCCAGTTACCTTTGCAATTTTTCCTTGAAAATAAACGAAAAATTCAGGTCAAACAAAGTTGTGTCCATCACCTCAATATAAAAACATAGTTAGCATTTGATTATCAGACAGTAAGAATGTCAGCCATTAAGAGTAAGCTTTTTTAAACTTTTCCATTGCTCTCTGGCTTTCAGAAAATCATTACCTAAATTTACAAATAGAAAAAACAATACTTGATCAGAATTTCCTGCTCTTCTAAGCAAGATGATAAAACATATATCCTGCCAGTCCTATTTACTTTGAGTATTGCTACCCATCAACTAATTACATTCATCGCTGAGCTGCAGGAATGAACAGTAAACTTTCTCTGCCTGAACGACTAGCATTCATTCAGAACTCTATTTTAAGAAGTTAACTTTTTCTTACACAATGGTGGATATTTCTTCAATTTATATGAATACATACAGGCGCATCTATGTTCTTTGAAAATTCCTGTAGAGTCTCTTTAAGAAAATAGGTTTTGGAAAAAAAATTCCACTGAATCTCACATATAAAGCAAATTGCTGAATAAATACATGCCACTTGCAATAATTTCCCTTTTGAATCTAGCAATCCCTGTCAGATCTGAGTATTTTGCCTGAATTATCTGGATGTAAGGATCTCAATACTGAGAAACCCTATCATTACTATTAGCAGCAAAGCCAGTGGAAGCCATCTCACCTATCATGAATAATTTCTTTTCCTCAGCATGAACTGGGAGATTTGCCTCACAACCACTGCCATCAGGTTCTGTCTTTGTGAAACTGTAAGAATTTTGCATGCAGAGAAGAGGCAGAAAATGTTGAAGAAATAATTGGCAGAGAAAGTTGAAAAGGCAAAAAATTGCAATGCTTCCTGTAGAGCAGAAAAATAAATATTCTATCTTTTAATGCTCAAAAATAAACTTTAGAGTCATTAAAATTGTCATCCTATACAGAAGGCACCAAAGAAAGCAGACACTAAGTAGGAAAGACTGCAGAACTAATACCAGTAAATAAGGAGGAAGAAATAATAGAAACAAACTTTATTCCAACTTTATTCATAGTTTATAGATGCAACTGTTTCATGGCTCTAAAAGTTAGGGGGGTGGGGAAACCAGATATAAAATGGAGACTGCATTTAGAGAGGGGACTTTCATCTCATGTTCTAATTCCAGAAAATCTTCTAGTGTCATTTTACATATCATTATGCAAAGCAAGGTCAGAGGCAGACATCCACTTCAGGCCAATAAAAGCCTATGATCCAAAGTATTCAGGGATTTAGATCTTTAGTATCATTTAATTTTACGTGGCTTCATATCAACACAGCTTTTTCCTTTTTATTAACACGTCAGATCAATACATATATAGAACTGTACTTACTGATACCATGCCAGGGTAGGTGTGTTTTTGTGGCTGGAGCAGAAGTTCCTATTTGTCTATAGCAAAATATACAGTAAGCAGCCACTGACATTCTGTGTATTGAAAAAAAAAGAAAAAAAGAAAAGAAAGAAAGAGAAAAAGCAATGATTGATTTGAGAATTAGAGCAAAAGAAAACCTGTAGTAGTTTTTTCCCTGTCTTTTTACAGCAAAGGTCATGATTCCAAAGGGCATGATACACAGCAAAGGTCACAATAAACCATATTTGTGTCATTTAACTCTCTATAAAGTGCTCTAATTAAAGACGTCTATAAAATCCTTAATTTAATAGGCTGCATTTCAATTACAAGAAAAGTTTAATGCAGTGTTTAAAGCAGTACAGTTATGTTTTATTCTTGATTTTAGAATGTATCTCAAATTCACTTCTCTTTTTGTAAGCCTCCTTTCCTACTTCTTCATAACTCTCCCTTAAATACCAGATAGTCATACGTCCATCAAGACATTGCTCAATATGACGTCTTTAATACAACTCAGTAATGAACTTTATGCTTTTAAAGTTTATAACTGATTGTGTTAGCAAGAAAGTCTTTTATTTTGACTAACAAGGCTCCAAGAATTACTACTACATTTTTTTCCTTTAAAGGGAAAATCTGACTAATATTTCAAGAATGTAAAAACTCTACAGTTAGTAAAAATAAATATTGGTTCTAAAATGTCTGACTCCATGGGCTCATGAAACTCAAAAGGGCATGCTTACAGATAAAACATAGAGGACACTTCTCGTCCTAGAAAAATTCTTACACATGCAAAAGGATGGAAACCTAGCCATGGCCATGAGGAACATCGCCTTTTCTAAAATTAAGTCCTTAGCAATTCAACATTATGAAGACACTGACAGACTAATTGCACTGTATTCACTGAATGTTGAAATCAAACTGGTTTTTTTTTTTCCCAGTCACTAAAACCACCTACTGTATTCTAGAATACTCAAATTCTGAATGCACAAGCAACCGAATGTAAGCATGAATCTCCTTGACAGCAACAGTCTCCATGAAAGCAGTACCTGATTTCTTCAGAAATGGTTTACTCTTCTGACATATCTATGATGTAAGGCACTGAATTTTCCCCATTTTACAGGCAGGAAGACAAGTTAAGAGAAGCACACTGCATCTTCCTTACACATTCTGGATATTACCTTGCCTCTTTGAAAAAGTGGGGCTATTCAGGAAGCACCATAAAGAAGCAAGGCACCTTAGCCCAATGATCAAGGCTGTAACTCAACCTCTGCACAGCAAGGTTCAAAAAAAGTACAGTTGTATTAGTCAAGCACTGAAAATCAAGGCAATTTTGGCCAGGCAAAAGCACCAATTCCTCTTTCTACCACTCACATATATTTACCATTTTATATTACATTTGATTTCAATTAGAAAAACTTCTCTCAGCTAGGAAAATAAACAAATTGGCTTGGCAAGCTACAACAACAATCACATTCTGCATATCGCTTCTGCTGAAGACTTAATCTCAAGTAGATAGATTGTATTTTTAGTACACGAATTAGGCCAACATCCAGAAAGAATATTAAACATTTTTAATAATCACAAAGCATACAAAAATTGGTTTTGCACAGACTGCAGAAGTAACACAAAATTCATATTTTGTAAGTGAAATTTCAGTGCCTGCATTAATACAAATGTATTAATTGTCTTGATCTTTAAGGTCCTTTCCAACCCAAACCATTCCACGATACTGTGATTACCCCAGCACTGCCACAATTACAGCAGAACTCTTTCTGGCTTCTGTCATTTCAGTATTGTCTTTATCCATTCACTTCAACAGAATATATAACACTATGAAATACTTCCAAGGCATTAATAATCAGTCCTCTGGAGATACCTCCCCTGCCTCCAAACTCCGTCTAATCTACGGCTGTTCCTTTACGATCTTTATTCACAGAACCACGGTACTAACATTTATTCTTCTATCTAACCTCAGTGTGTAACCGCAATAAGCATGTAGCTCAGAAACTGCAAGTGCCACAATTCCCTGAACTGGGCAGCCAGCAATAAACTCCTGCACAGGGCTGTGCGGATGAGGCTGTGCGGTGCCAACGTTTCTGTCACCACTCCAGCGTGGGGCAGCTGCAACTGCACAACTAGGGCGTATTAAAAATAATAAAAATTTGGGAAACGCAACATTTAAGTGGCCAAGAAGCAAAGCGGTAATAACTGTGCCTCTTTCCAAAGGGGTAAACCCACATCTTTCCACTTCTGCACTCGCACGAAGCGGGCGAGGCCCGAAGCACC